CATACAAGCAAGATATAATATATATCTTCAGGATATCATAAAAATTTTCTTTTCTTTCTTTCGTTGGTTAATGTCAAGTCATATTCGCTAATGGGCACAATAAGGAGCCGCGATGTCTCCACTAACATGTACAGTTGTATATTTAGGCTGAAAACGTTATATAACTTATACACAGTATTACATAAAACGTTTTAAGTATACTCCCTCCGTCCCGTTGGAATGTTCCCGGTTTGACCTACACATATATTAAGGAAATAAACTTATCAGAGGGTAAATTTTACTGTTTTGACACTGTTTCGACACTATTTGACACTGTTTTGCACTATTTGACACTGTTTTGATAGAGGATAACTTTCCATTTAGGGAAATGAGAACTTCTTTTTGGGACATCCAGAAAAGGAAAACGGGAACATCCCAACAGGACGGAAGGAGTATTTGATATAGAAAACATGTTAAATATTTGATTTGGTCAGTTCAAAGTCAGGGTCAAACGCTGGTGATGCACGACCCACAAGGCCCACAGTCATTCTCAACATGAATTCAAAGCTGTGAAAGGTCAACTGAGTAGATATGTAGATATATACGGGAGCATCATCTTCCTATATGATAGGAAGATAATAAAATAGTGTGGTGGAATGAATGATAAATCCAAAAAAAGTAGGTGTAATAGTGTATTATTTTAAAAATTTTTGTGGGTATGATGGAAAGATTTAGAATGTGAAGATTATTTAGTTATGGTTAAAAATGGGAAGTGGAAATATCTTTACGTTACGGAGGTAGTACTATTTTATAGGGTGGTGACATGCTTTTTAATCTCCTTATCTCAAAATGGAAGCTCCATAACATATTCTGACGTTTGACCGATAATAGATTTATAGGCCATTTAGCAACATTGTTTTTCAGCTTAATTATCAGGCTTATCCGTCAACTTTTTCACCAAACACGTAACTTTTGCTTTCGCGCGCTTAACTATGTAGTAAGAAGAAAAATTAAGATTGGAGTTACTTTTCTGGCTGTATTGGGTGAAGTTAGTGTAGATGACCATTTTAACTATTTTTAGATATAATTTTTTCTTTATTTTGTTAATAAAATGTATTTTATTTTATTTTTTTCCTTAAATCCCAATGCAGCCTGATAGATAGTGTACTCGGGGGTAACTTATCCGAAGGGTTATTGCGGGGAATAAAAAGTAAGAGAAGTCAGAGCGAACAAGTAAGAGAGAGAGCCAAGTGTATTAAATGAACTTGTTCTGGGATCCTTTACAAGAGGAATAAGGGCTGCTATTTATAGCTGCCACAAATGCGATGAGAGTATACGTGTCAACAATTTAACGGCCGAGGGATCACTTCAATAGGGGTGGCACCGGCATATGCATGTGCACCGCATTAAATGCGGTGATTGGACGTGACGCCGCATTAAATGCGGTTGTTGCTTGCCCCCAATTGAAGCTCGTAAAGCGTAGACCCTTCGGCCAGTAACATATGGCTGAAGGCTGATGAGTGACCGAAGGCTAAGTTCATGCCGAGGGCACCCAGTACCCGAGGGCTACTGTTTTCCGCCGTTTTCTCCCAGTAGCTTTGTATGCTCAAATCTGACTGCCCTGTGGAATTTGGAGCCCCCGGTCATAGGGCCGAAGGCACCCCTATGTGCACCGTGGGCTTCTTAACACTTGGGCCGCTGTGTTTGGGCTTTGTGTGCTCATTGGGCTTGACGGGCCTGACTAGGAGAAGTAGGAGTCTATGGGCTAGGGGTCCCTGGGCCATATACTCCATCACAGTCACTTCGGCCAGAACTTCATAAATTTCAGCCAAATCATCCGATTTTCGTGCTACCAAACAGGCTCTTAACTCCGTATCATATTGTAATTAGAAATTTTATAAATCGCAAAAGCTGAATTCGAAAAAATGCAAATCTGAGTTTTTCCCACTTTTAGTCCTCCGACTATTATGTCATTGACACTTTTGATACTCTACTTTGATTGTTTCCATTTTAGTGCTCGACTATTGCGCAAGGGACACTTTTGGTACCCTTCTTTGAAAATGTCCGTAATTAGTCCACCTACTTTCATAAAAGTGATACATTTGGTCCTTCAACTATTATAAGAATAACATTTTTAGTCCCCCACTTATTGTTTCAAAGTCAGAGTGGATGGATTAAAAGTGTCAGTTTGATGATACTCATGGGACTGAATGTGGAAAACTTTGAAGTCGAGGACTAATAGTGTTTCTAGAACAATAGTCGAGGACTAAAATTGAAAACGTTAAAAGTCGAGTACCACAAGTGTCAATGACACAATAGTCGAAGGACCGAAAATGGAAAAACTCTAAAAATCCGCATTTTAAATTAAAGATTAAAAGTGGATAGACAAAATGAGTCTATTCTATACCTAGTATATTTTTTTTTATATCTATGGTGCCAATGACATACCGTCACTTTTTTTTATCGTAAAACAGGCGGCTTTATATTATTATCGAGAACGAATACAAAACAATCCTTAGACATATTTTACAGATCCAATCGTGAACCCTAGGAGTAGACATAGAATCAGCCACCTCATACAAAGCAACCTGAATCGCTAAACCTGAAACGGGCACATTTAAGCCTAAAACGAACGGATCTGAAACCTTGCCTATCAAAAGAACTCCAAAAACCCAAACATTCAAATCAAATCTACTCGGACTAAAACAAAAATAAGTACTACTAAAGAAAAAATAATATTGAAATAAAATATTTTCACAAAACTCATCCTGGTATGGAGGTGGTTCCGGAGCGGCCGACCAAGGCTTCAAAATCCAGCACCGATACAAATTTTCTGCCACAATCCGTACATCCACTAATGTTATCTCCTTCGTCGTAGTTGCAATTCCAAGTGTTATAGCACTTGCAATCAAAATAATTTGCCGCTCCAGCCCGATATTGATAGGGGCGGCGGAAAAATCTCAACCCCTACAAAGAGGGGAGACAGCCGCTAGGTTTTTAGAGAGTAGCAGAGCTCTCTACTATTTGCACATTCGTGACATACCCCCTACTTATTCAAATAAAATTTGTATAGTACTCATACCAAATTTTAGCTAAAACTTCAATCGGGAAGACATTGAAATAAATTCTGAAGATAACTGGGTTTTTAACTGCGCAGTTATCTTTAAGAATTCATTTGAATGCCTTCCCGATTGAAGTTTTAGCTGAAATTTGGTATGCATAAACTAGACTTAATGAATAAGATACTCAAAACATTTCATCGAAAAATTCCATCGGGAACCACCCCAAATGACGTCGGCCAAACAGAACCTCCTACATAAGGTCTTATTTGATATTTTTTGGTAAGTTCGAAGCCCTATTTGACCCTTTTCCCTAAAATTTTCAAAGAAAAACTTTGAATCCCGTGTTCTCTTAATATCTCTCCGCTAAAATCCTTATTCATATATAGAAAACAAATTATGATAACGACTAACAACACTACATAAGCGGCACGTGAAATCCTAACATAGTAATAATAAAGGTGCTGATCAAGCAAATTGACTCGCAAGTTACTCGAGGTTGTGAACTCCTCAATTATGAGTTAAAATTATTATTTTAACATTCAAATAAATGACATTGCATCTTATGTTCATAGTACGATGCACACATAAAAAGTATATACGATAGTATATCTTTAACTAAAAATATACTAGAGACTTACATGTCGCTTAACGTTTAGTTAATGTTTCAAGGAGTTATGTAGACTAGACATTTTTAGACAACGCTTAGACAGACTTAACCAATTGAAGTTCCATCTTAGGCTTAAATGAATAACAAGCAACAAAGGGAGCTTTGATGCATGTCTAAGAGACAATTAGGTTGAGAATTTTTAAAACAATGTGTTTATGTTTAAAAAGTTAATGATGATTGCACATATGTGTTTAAACGTATAACAAGTCAAACTCTTTGTTTAAAATTATATATATATTCTTAAAATAAATAAACTCGAGTATAACTCGAACTTGATTAGAACTCGAACCCAACTATGATACGAATACAACTCAAGCGAAGTTATATATTTTTCAACTCAACTAAAACTCAAACTCGATCTTTCTTTATCCAGACTGACTCGATCTAAAATCGAACTCGAGCTCTAGTCTCTCAATTAGCACCCCTACTAATTAGTAACATGATATCGTAAAATGGACTACCAGGTTTCGACAGTTATAAAATACGCACAGATTATACATTAATCAGATCAGACCAGTTTAGACCATAGTATACTACATCAGACTTAAAACATATCAAACCAGACGATATCAATTAAAAACGGAAAGGTGTTCGTACGCACCAAGTTGTACACAACATTTTACATGGCGGTCAAATTGTCGAGGCATAGACATTTTTTTTCATTTTGTAAAAAAAAAAACAGTTCATCGCACAAACAAAAAATGTGTTTGTGTCACGAGCATCAAATTTATCTGTTCAAAAAATGATTCTCTTCACAAAATGAAAAAGAAAGTTGTTTGTAGACAGATAATTAGATTGAACATCCTAAAGGGTCAATAGTTCAAAAATACTCCTTACTATGGGAATTACGTCACTGCGGAACCCGCAACCTAGCTAGCTTCCGCTTTCACCCAGTAAGAGCTTCACAAATCAGTAACTTGATAATCGTAAATCTTAAGTTACTGATTTTGTCTTCAAAGTCTTGCTGATGCAGAATCCCTTGCCTCTCTTATTGTCATCGCTCATTTCAACAAAAACTCCAGATCCATTATTCAATGGGCTTGAAATCTCTGTTGATTCACTTGATTCATTAGCGACTAATGAGTAAATGAGTAATGAGTAATGACGACCCAATTTGACAGGAAGATCACAGGCTCCATTAGCTTGTTTGATTACTTCCATTTGACAGTATACTGCCCTTGCTATTTTCTCTCACCATATTGTGGCATCCATTTGCTTCACAAATGTCATTATTATCATATTTCACTATTGTGTAAGTGTGCATTTGCTTTCTAAATTCTTTCATGATGTTAAGGAGATTCACTCATCGTGCATTTGGTCTATACTTCTCTACAAAATCATTCATTCAAGTGAAATTTGTGAAGTTTTCAACCAATAATGGATGTGTGATGTCATATACTAGACACACATTCACATAATCAATCTGTGGAGGAGTACAAGAACAAAAACCTCACACAAGGCAGATGAAGGTTACATCATAAACTAGCTAGTGAAGCAGTGTTAAAAGAGGCACAAAAATCCATTTATGATATTGAACTCTGCTGAGTTTCCTCATTAGTATCCCACTGGCTCTTAGGTATCTCTCCAGAGTCCGAGATTGTGACCTTCTTCCTGGGTTTGCCACTGTAGGTTCCTGCTCCCCCTTCAACTGCATATACCGTGTCCATCCCTTCCATCACTTTCCCAAACACAACATGCTCCCCATCCAACCTGTCATCCACCACATTGTCAATATATAGCTATCAAACACATCCCGGCCGAGACATTTTACCCCAACAGTAATTTTTTATCTCTCAACTCTAAGTGTGTGCATATTTTCCTACCAAACCCAACCCATTAATTTCTGTACACCAGATTAACTCAAACCAGTTTCATATGCATGAATAAGGATGTTTTTACTTGGAATGTTTTCAGTCTCCGACCAGACTAGACCAGACTTGGATAATTATAAAATACACAGAGAGTCAGAGACCAGACATACATTTACTAGGCCAGGGCGTACCAGATTAGACCAGAAAATTCCAGTCCCAGTGAAAACATCCTAATTGCTTAAAAGATCCATTAGCCCATTATACAATGTTTGAAATCTGTCATTTAAGGTTTGTTTTGTTAGGGAATTTCAGAGGGTGTTTTTTTAATATTGATTGTGAGTTAACTTGGTAAATTTTTTTTTTTTAACGAAATACACGATCTAATCATCTAACTAATCAAAAGTCTAATACTAACCAATAGAGATAAATCAGTAAAGCACAAATCAATCCTTCAGTCCCCCTTCACTCCAAAGTCCAAATTGCCCAAAGCCCCAAACCAATTAAGCACTTATAGAACTAAAGAAGGTTGATGCTCACATTGACTCTAACATGTCTGACTTGGAAATTAAACATAATCCATAAGTGTGCTCTGCCTTAGCTGGTTATCCTCTATCTTAATGGGACTCTAATCTACCCACAATAACCTAACCATGATTGAAGTCATTGAACCAACAACAGTGGATTAGGCTTTTTTTTTTTAATTCAGATGAGTGTGGCTGGATGTCAGCATCAGCTTTATTTAACCGGTCACCAACATGTAAAGTGGGCTAACTAATTCCTTTTTATGGGCTAAATGGTTGTCCACAGATCACACTTTAGAAGTAATGTATGCAACCACATTGCATAAACATACCAGCTTGCCTTGACTGTTGTTATGAAAAACTGGCAGCCATTAGAATCACGACCAAAGTTCACCATAGAAACAACACCTGTTTGGATAACATAAGTAAAACAACTTAATTATTTTCCGCCTCTTAGAGACAGAGAAAGAGAGATTAGCAAACAATGCAAGCTGATAACGACCTGGATGAGAATGCCTAATCTTTAAATTTTCATCAGGAAAGCTTCCGCCATAAATGGACTCATTTCCCCTTCCATCACCGTATGCAATATCGCCACCTTGAATCATGAACCCAGGTATTATGCGGTGAAATGGTGTTCCCTTATAGTGAAGGGTGATTCCATTTGCAGTCTTCCCCATCTCCCCTGATTTTTATATCATTAGCGTGCACACACCATATAAATTCAATTTTACATAATTGAAAAGTTCAAAACTGTAAAGTAAGTTCACTCAAGACAGTCCAACATATACCAGTGCACAAAGCCCTGAAATTCTCTGCACAACAGAAAGTGACAGAATGTTATTCAAAGAGCAAAAATTTAACACTGGGAAAGAAATGAAAATAATGCAATTGCATTTATTTGCATGTTAACAAAAAACGTAGACAACTAACTCTAGTGAACACCAAAAAGGTGCTGTTTTAAAACATACCAGCTGTTTTTGGTACAACTTTGCCATATAAGCCAATAACAATTCTTCCTGCAAAGCACGTAAACATTATGTGGCCTAATTAGACATCAAGCTAACAATTCCTTTGTACGAGAGAAGGGTTTAAACAACCACTTCATTTGTTTACTAGTGAAGTGTCAGGCACTATTGCGAGAGGTAATATATGTTGGCATCTTGCATATATGTTACCTAACAAACACTTATTAAGTTATGATCAACCAAAAGATAAAAGGGATACAATCTAAATAGAAACACTTGCCTATACGTTGCTTATCTATATCAACATCCAAAAATACTCTATGGGTGATCTCAAACACCTCTTCCACGTTTTCTCGCCACTGAAAAAATATTACAATGAAATACTGTGACATACTTGGCAGAGGGTAAAAAGGCCAATACTGGAAGAAATATAAATTAATGTTTTAAAGGAATTATAGATCAATGACTATTTAATACTGTATTCTGAAGTACTTTTCATTTTCAACTGAAACGGAAGCTATGCATATGTTTTGACATGAAAAAGACTGAGATAATCGGATGACAACTCACAATTGTGTTATAAATATGATTTCACTTTTAACATAATTAATTATTCCCAGAATTAAAAATAATCTGTTTAATGGTGATGGCCAGTTCACAAACAAGTAAAATGCAAATCACTGGAAATATGAATAAGACCTCCGTATACATTTCCAACCGGACAGTCCTGTAACTTGATAAATGATATGGAACTGAATTTTATGAAGAGCTGGCTAAGCTACAGAACAGGAGTACATTAGTTCCACACAGCCCGTTTAGTATAAAATTATCTTAAGATGCTGAAGTGGGTGACTAGGCTGAATTTGCTCAATTATGTTATAAACATATTTTATTGGTAAAAATAAAGAACAGATTATATGGAAATAAAAGTTACACATCTAAGGGCACAAAATAAAAAATTCAGTGCTTGATTGGACTCACATGCCAAATGGACACTCAGTGGTATTACAGAAATGTCCAACTAGTGAGATCTTTTCATAAACGAAATAATTAGTCAACCACTAATCTACCTAAAAAGTTATTACTGAATAGCTTGACACACATCCTTATTCATTCATTCATTTATGACGATATACACAAAGTTGTTTAGAAACTGGTTCTCAACATTCAACAGTGAATTGAGCTGAAAATGAAATACCCACCCGGTACGGAATAACCCCCCAAAAGTATAGCATACACTAATCCAACACAGCCCAAATCCCAAAAATTAGAAAAGTGAAACTAAGCAAAAGAGGAATACCTGGAGAGAGGAAGTGCAAGCGAAATATATGAGAACGAACGCGAGAAGAATGATGAGAAGGTAGCGTGTGCGAAATATAGCTGAGATACCCCGACCCATCTTCTTATTCACTTCACTTGACCAACATTTATCAATTTATCTTCCACCACCTGTTGATTAATATCAACTCCCCACAAAAACTAATGTAAATATTGAGCAATATAATAATATGGTATCAGGATACAGGAGCCCGTTTTAGGGAAATATAAGAACATGGAGTTATTGTGGTCAGGCCCGTCCCCAACAAATAAAAGGCCATGTTCAGCATACAGTAGGAGGCCCTAACATATAATACAAAAAATAAAACTTATCGATAGTACCACCAACATCATCAACATTAACACCAACGCTAGCACTGACATTTTTATTTTCATTCGTAATAATATTTTGTGGTTCATTCGTAACAAACTTATGTAGAGTTCCCCTTTTAGATAACTTTAACTCTTCAGTTCTTTTTTTCTTACATTTTTCATATCTGCATTCATATTTTCTAACCGGTGCTGTTTGCTTCAAGGCCTAGGGAATATAATTTATGATGGGCTTGATCTAAAAAACAAAAAAACTTTTCCGTCTGAACTAACATGCATAATAATAACATTGCAAGACCTTTAACCTAAAGGAAAGACTTTTAAATTTGTTAAGTTGAACAAAGAATCACAATTACAAAATCAAAATTTGAGATAAATTAAAAATACTTGCATACATTCATTGCTGAGCAATGTGAAGCAAAATCATCAACAATAGATTAATAATCAAGCATTTCTAACACATTATGCCCAATGCTTAATATCGCTAATCCATTAAGTCTTTGTAATTGAATCATTTTACAGAATAAAGTATAACACCAACAGAAAATCAAATTGCCAATCACTTAAAATTCAGAATGTCAACAACTATGAAATAATTGCATTCAAAAAAACTATGAACTATCAGCTAACAGCAACATAGCAGAACGGATTAACACATAACAATCAACAATTATGAATAAGAACTAATTATTTATCAACTAATTATTTATTAACTATTCATTTATAAACATTAAGCAATTTTAAATCCAAGAATAATGAACTAATCAGTAAAAGATTAGAAGAGTTAAGGAGGTCGGAGGAGACCAATGAATACCTGAAGGCTGAAGGTGAAAATGGCAAGGGCCGAATCGTTGAACGGCTGAAGCCCAGTATGCACTAGGGCCGGAAGCGCGCCGCGGCACCGCCGGACCGGAAGGCAGAGGAGTGAGGACTGCTGGAGTGAGAAGCCGATAAGGCGATAAGGGGAAGGGCGGCAGCCGGCAGGCGTCCAAGCGTTGGCGACTTGGCGGTCGGTCGGTCGGCCGGCGAATGTCGATATAGAAGTGATTTAGCAATTGGAAATAGAAGTGATTTAAAAGAAAAAGTAGAAAATGTTTGGAAATAGAAGTTATTTTTGTTAAAAGATAAAAGTCGAAGTGTTTGATAAAAAACTGATTTTTGAACAAATAAAAATTGATAGTGTTTGAGAAAAAAATGATTTTGAAAAATAAAAGTTGGTCGCGTTTGGTAAAATAAGTGTTTTTTGTGTAATAGAAAAAGTAAAAACACTTTTGACACCAAAATCGAGAAAAATAAAAATTGGCAATGTTTAATAAAATAAGAGCTTTTAAAGCCAAAAGGTGAAAAATGTTTTTTTAAGCATTTGCAAACCAAACTTGGCTACCAAACGTCCAAACATATATGTCCACGGTCCACCTACACAGTTCAGTTCTGTTAGGTTGGATGTGCGGGCATGTAAAAATTGGAGGGAGGATTCCTTCTCTTTTTAGAAGCTTTCTCTTCTGCAATTGACAATGAACGTAAGAGCAAATAGGAGCTGAATGAGCTCATGATGTGAATCAGATGACACAATCCACCAAGGGTAGACGATATATGGTGACAAAAACAGTTCCGTTGCCCGTTGGTGTTGCAATCACTCCTACACCATCTTCTTCCTCTAATCAAATCTTCAGTGTTTCACCAGTTGACATTGTTTTCACTTAACTTCGTCAGCAATGGAGGTTCAGGCTCTCTTCTGTGGATTTAAAGTATCTCCTTACAGAACCCGAACCCCTAGCCTGATTTGGTCCAGAGTAAATCCGGTTCCTCCACTCACTCGCGTGCAAGTCGTACGCTGTCATACGCCTTCCATTTTAACCCCTCCCCTGGCCCATCTCCGCCGCTACACCGCCTGCTGCTCCGCCCACAGCCATCACGACCACGGCCACCACCACCAGCAGAACGGGCATATCCATGATCATAACCAACACCACCATCATGTTCCCAATGAGTGTGATGTGCAGCAGACAAGACCCCAACAGATTCTTCTAAAATTCGCAGACGCGACTAGGTGGACTCACCTGTCTAATTTTTTGCGGGAGAATTTGGAACTCTGTTGCTTCGCCGCCGTTTTGTTTATTGCCGCGGCTGCTTGTCCCTGCGTGCTGCCCAAACCGGTTGTGAAGCCTTTCCAGCATGCTTTCGCTGCCATTGCCTTTCCTCTTGTCGGGGTATTTTCTTTATTTCCGTTTCATGTTATCTACACTCACCTGTTCCTGGTCCAGTTTTGGGTTACAAATCCCTAATAGTTTAAATTGGTTAGAATTATGCAATCGCCTCCTTGGTTTTTTGACCTAACCAGAGTGATCACGCTTTCCATAAACAAATCCCCATGAGAAACTAGGATGTAATTGATTCTCTTTATATCATGATAAAGTATGGTCTGCTGCAGGTATAGAGTCAGTGTATTTCAATTTAGTGAAACCAGACTTCTAAGGTGAACTTATAAAGATTTTAATGTGGTTTGGGAAGTGATATATGACCAGGCAGCCAAGAAGAACTTGAATGCTATGCTTTCTTAGGAAAGCTATAGGGTTTGTTGTGCTAGTCATGTATGATTAATTTGTATATTTAGTTGTTTTTTGAATTTGTATGTCATGCTACATGTCAGATCTCAGCCTCCCTTGATGCCCTAATGGACATTGCTGGTTGGAAAATTAATATCCATGTGCTGATGGCTCTTGCAGCGTTCGCTTCGCTTTTCATGGGAAACCCATTGGAAGGTGGATTACTTCTAGCCATGTTTAATTTGTCTCATATAGGTATGTGTACTCTTACTCCTTACTTGGCTGTATTCTCTGCCTAGAGATTTGGATTCTGTGTCAAATAGTCATTTAACCTCCTCCACAGCTGAAGAGGCCTTCACTCGCCGTGCCAAGATTGATGTAAAGGAATTGAAAGAAAATCACCCAGAGTTTGCTTTAATGCTTGATGCAATTAATGGGAGCCCACCAAGTTTCTCAAACATGACATATCATGAAGTCCCTGTTAGCGATTTAAAAGTTGATTCACTGATATTGGTTAAAGCTGGTGAGGTCTGTACATTGCACTCCCTTAATTACTACTCCATACAACATACATAATGGTGTTTATGTGTGCGCTTTTGTATATCTATGGGGTATGTAATTACACGCTTATCCTATTTATGAGGGTTAATGTGTGCTGTTTAATGAGTTTAATGTTATTCTAATATTGTGTTTTACTATTGCTTTAATCAGTCTGTGCCTGTGGATTGTGAAGTTTTAAAAGGTAGCTCGACGATCACAGTTGAGCATTTAACTGGCGAGGTCAAACCTTTAGAAAAGAATGTCGGCGATAGCATTCCTGGGGGAGCTAGGAACCTGGATGGCATGTTGATAGTGAAGGTATGGCTCCTTTGCCTCTTCGCGTCAATGAAATGCTCTGAGATTTATGTGTTTATTCATTTATTATTGTTTTTGTAAATGAAATAACACAAAACTTAATGTTCCATATGAGTTGAAGATAAGATAAGCATATTGTTGCTTTCTTCTTTTGGTGGTGTACTTTTTTTCATTTACTCTACAAAATTAGAACCAATAATAATAAGAGAAAATGGAAATTAATAATCCCACCTTTTAGCGGTCTTCTTCCAATATTCCCACCTATCCATAATTCAGGAATAATCTCACCTTTGCACCCCATCTTCTTTCATCGGTCCCTGACCGGTTGGTGACCTGCTATTCCAAGTTATTTTCTTTTCTCTACAAGTAATTAAACCATAAATCCCACCTTCTACAAATCTTCTCAATACGGTCCCAAATATGATTTTTCTTTTTTCTTTCTAAAAGTTTTCTCTCTTTTTTCTTTATCGTCACAATGCTCTAATTCCTTGTTCTTCTTTTTTATTTTCATTTATTTACCTTGTTTATGTATACCTTTATCCGTTTACCATAAGAGTTTTTTTATAAAATTTTCTTTCGATATTTTTTTTTCTTTTTTTTTGATTCTCCTCCATTTCTATTTTCTGTCCTTTTTATGTATTCCTATTCGTTGTAGTCTCTTTTTATAAGTTTTTCCCGACTACTTGTTTATATTTTTTTCTTTGAATTTTTCAGGAAAGAGAAAAATATATTAGTGGTGGAGTCAAGGTAAGAAAAGGAAAAATGAAATAAATAAGTGAAAAGTAAAGTAAAAAATAAGTAGTATGAGAAAAAGATCTTTTATAAGAAGGGAATTAATCTAAAAAAATACATAAAAATGGAAATGAAATAATAAACGGGAAGAAGAAAAAAGAAGGAAAAAATGGAATACATAAACATGGAAATAAGAATAAGAAGACGAAAAAAGGGAATAAAAGAGTCAAGAGGATAAAAATAAAAAAAGAAAATTTTTAGGGAGAAAAAAGGAAAAAGATGCATGAGACCGTTTGGAGAAAATTTGTGAAAGGTGGGATTTATAGTTTAATGTTTTGCAAAGAAGAGACAATAACCTGGAATAACAGGTCATCAACCGGTCAGAGACCGATGAAAGAATATGTGGTGCAAAGGTGAGATTATTCATGAGTTACGATTAGGTGGGATTATTATAAGAAGACCGCTAAAAGGTAGGATTATTAGTTTTCATTTTTTTCCCATCATTTGCAATGGAGCAAGAGATTCATTATTTTTTGGCTTGAGAATATGATGGAATAAAGCAAAATGGCTCACCAAACTGTCTGCGCTTCTTTGTTATGAAGCAGCAGTCCATGCAATTTTCGGACGCGATTTTCATTATGGGTCATCCGGAAACAGTCTCTCTGTGCTATAGTACAGGGGTAAGACTGCGTACATCCGACCCCCCTTACCTCACCGTAGGTGGGAGCCTTTGCGGCACTGGGTAAATGATGATGATGATGATATAGTTCCCTCATTTCTTCAAGATTTGCTTACATAATAACATTTGACATTGTGCTTTCATTATAAACTTACTGTACCCTTTAAAGGGACAAGTTTTGTACATTTAATCTTCCAGGAGTGCGATGTTTATATTGAGTGCTATACATAATTGGTTCTTCACTTTAGGGATCTTCAGGCATTTTATATTTCATTCTTTACTTTAGCTGGGGGGATCAGAGGAAGTACTCATATATATTATTGGTTACCAATTCATTTTTAATTTGCAGAACTATTTCCGCACGGTTGTATGTAATTACTTGGTTGATTGAACTAGAGTTTTTTTTACCTCCATCTTGTTAAGGAATTGCTTTTAATTTAATCATATAGTACTTTGGAAGATAAAATAGGGAGAGTATACTTTGTTTTATGTACGCAAACTTCCCGAAATAGGAAAATCAAGGTGGTTTCCCTAAATAGGAGTGCAATTGTTTCTCTCCAAATAAGAGTAAAGTGCAGACCTTGAAATCATACTGCCATATTATGGTATTATCAGGCATTAATGTGATAGTATTAATGTCCAAATATGGTAGTATTTTTAGGATGACATTAATTAATCCTATTTAGGGTAAAATATAGTAGTCATATTCAGGCAAACCACCTTATTTTTATTCCTATTTCAGGCAATTTCCTTTGTATAATCTTATTCTATTTGCAATATAGGCAAAAAAGACATGGAAAGAGTCTACACTAAACAGGATTGTGCAGCTGACTGAAGAAGCTCAGTTAAGTAAACCAAAACTACAGAGATGGCTTGATAAATTTGGAGAGCAGTACAGCAAGGCTGTGGTACTCCTATCCATTTCAGTTGCTGTCATTGGACCTTTTCTTTTCAAGTGGCCCCTCATTGGTAGCCCAGGTAATTCAAAGAACTTCCTGTTAGTGTAATTCTGTCTACTATACTACTCTACTTTATGATTGGAGGGTGATGGTTGCATTTTGCATAAATGTCTGTTCAATAACTGTATTGTATTGCCTGCAAAGTGCCTTAGTCAAGCTGAAAACTATAGATATTGCAACTGTGTATTCATCTATTTTGTCCGAATTATTCTTTGAGACCTGTTTAATTCATGTAGCTTGCAGAGGATCAGTTTATAGAGCACTCGGGCTTATGGTTGCTGCATCACCATGTGCATTAGCTGTGGCTCCATTAG